CTAGTGTGATTGAACTTTAAATGGGGTTTCATCAGGAGAGTGTTTAATTTATAGTCAATGAAAGTTTCTTCTCAAGTGATAAATGGTTTCCCACTGTTCTAACCAATACTTAATCTAGGACTTGGCCTCTATAGGGCCAAGTGAAGATCAAACAAGACTTGGTGTATGTAATTTATAAATCCATCCTCATTCCAAACCATGTCTAAATGACATTTAAGCATGTTTGTGATAATACATTTGCGATAGCAGCAGAAAATGGAAAACTATTGGAGTGGAATGATTAGAAATGTCTATTGTACATAGTTATATATTCCAGCTTTTGGAGTTTTTACCATGTAAAGACTGGTTGGCCATGGCCATATAAAATAGCAAACAGGAACATTCCGCTAATTTCATTTCAGTCTTACTTGTCCTTCAACATCCTTTTGTGTAAAATAAAACTGCTAAAATATGAGCAGTGTAGATCTGTTTGTTAAAAGTAGTACAAATTTAAGGTGAGAAAACAAATCCATTAACAAGTAACAAGGTTTGTCATGACCTGTTATGAGAGATTTGAAGATTTACCTCATCAGTATTTGGACAATTTAATGAAAACAGATGATAAGTCTTCAGAAAGGGTATTCAATATCAACTTTTTGCAAATGGAACGCTCACTTTTCTCTTTGGATGCAAAATCTTCCTAACAGTGAAGACAGCTGAGATATGAAATGTTAATAAAGTTTTTTTCCATCTGAGCCATGCTTGATTACTGTCAATCTGTGCCAAATAGAAGTATATATATGTGAGTAGGGGTATATGGATATTATGACTACTCATAAAAAGAAGAAAGACCTGGAAAAAAACTCTTTCTTTCCAAAATGGATACTCACACTTACTCATAGAACGCTATTAAGATTTATATTAGCTTTTGCTTTATTCTCTAAATTTTTCTCAAATAAGAATATGAAATATAGAATATGAAGGAAAATCTATATTCTAAAGGTAGCATAGTAATCTTAATATTGAACATTTTTTCAAATATCGAAAAAGGAAATATGTGGAATATGTTATAGAAATTAAAATATATGGTGTAGAACAATTTAAACTAGACAAATTTCTATTCAATTTTCTATCTTTTATTATGTTAAAGAAGAATGTGAAAGAGGAAAGTGGTGAGCATCTGTAGACTAATGGTGGGTATGCTTTGCTTGCATGAAATCTACAGAATCAATCTTAACATTTCAAACTCATGGTGAAAATAGTGAAACAAGGAAATATTTTAACATGATATGTGATACAGGGACAAAAAAAATGTAGTACTTTACAGACACCATTTTTGGTACCTGCCAAGTTTCCTATCATGTCGGTCTTTTTAATTAAATTGGAAACTGGCATTGCAAATTACTTATACTTATTTATAAACCCCTAGCATTAAGTGTATTTGCAAGGGTGGAACCATATAGACTCATCTCCATTCTTAGAAAATAAAAATTATGGGTGGCTGTTTGGAAGTGTTGGTACATATCTGTCTAGAACAGCAGAAATGATAGAGAACATTTTGGGATATTAGAAACAATCATAGAAATAGCGTCACCACCTTGTCTTGGATTAATGGGTATTTTATAACTGGTCTTGCTGCAACAGCCATTTGTTGATTTGTGCCTACCTATCCCAAAAAAATTACTTAGCCCTGATTACTGTTGCTTGAGAATAGGTAATTAGACAGGCAATGGATGTCATTCACCCACATAAGCCAGCTTGATTGATTGATTGGTTCGATTTATATGCCGCCCTTTTCCAGAGACTCAGGGCGGCTTACAATGCATTAAGCAATAGCCTTCATACTTTTGTATATACCTGCTTAGTAGGGCTTTCGCCCCCCCCCCCTCCAAGCGGTGTTCTTTTTTATACAAAGTCAGCTTATTGCCCCCACAAACCGGGTCCTCATTTTACCTACCTCGGAAGGCTGAGTCAAGCTTGAGCCTGATAAGATTTGGACTTGCAGTAATTGCAGGCAGCTGGTGCTACTTAACAGTGCTTTAGTCTGCTGCGCCACCAAGGCTCCTTCATGTGACTTTTATTAATAGTGTCGCTTTGATTTATTGTTGATTTCTGTCTATCTGATATAAGATAGAAATGAGAGTTGAATTTCTAAATATCTTCAGGGTATAAGGTTGTAGAAGATATGATTATTTCATGAAGGTGTAAAACCTGCCTTCATAAGATTTTCAAGTAAGGATTGAAGGAAAAACATGTTGCAGATAAGGTAAGAAGAGCATGTGTACAAATATATACAGCTAGTCCTTGACCTATGATGTTTTGTTCAGCTATTTTAATGTTATCACAATACTTACGTCATTCAATGCAGTTTAAAGCCTACATGGAAAAAGAGATGCCAGATAAGTTGGCCTTAGAAAAGGCTGAGGAATATGCGACATTGTTGACACTTGCTAGATAATTAGAAAAGTCAAATAATGCCAAAAAAAAAGAAGCCAGCATATGCTTCATTAATTATAGAAAATCCTTCAAGCTATGAAATGTGATTAGAAAAATGGAAATTCCAGAACATGTTATTGTCCTCCTGCAAAGCATATATACAGGTGATGAAGCTACAATGTAGACAGAACATGGCAAAATGGACTAGCTCTAGGTTAACAGAGGAGTCAGGCAAGGCTGTGTACTTATTTACTCGAGCTATATGCTGAAAATATAAGAAGAGAAACTGATTTGTGAGAAGATGAATATGATTTTAAAATTGGAGGAACCAAATCAACACACAGTTCTCAAAACACAAATGGTAAAGCTCAAATTATCCTACTTTGAACACATTCTGTAGAAAAGCTGTAATGCTGGGGAAAAAATGGAATGAAAAAGAAGATGACTACTAGTGGATGGGCTTAGTTACAGTGACAATGGTGCATTGGAAGATCTGGAGGACTCGATTAGGAGAAAATCTATCTATGTCAACACCATTGACACCAACTTGATGGCTCATAATTCAATTTGATGAGTCCATAGGTATGTTCGTGGGACTATCTATCCTTATCAGATGAGATGAAGCACACCTATTGCTAAATAGAGCAATTGTCAGTATATACTTCTGAAAAATAAAAGATAAATATTTGTGTATTGATTTTTCCTATTACTTAAAAGAATCTATTTAAAACAAGTTATGAAATTCTGATGAAAAAATAAAAGACAGTACTGATTGGGATAAATTAAAATCCTTCCTCCAAAGTTTGGAACCAATTCATTTTTTTTTTCCAGTGAGAACTCTACAGTTTTTCAAACATATATTGAGAACAGTTCAATATGGCTTGAATATTAAGTCCCTGGTGATATCCAATTAAGTCACTTTTTAGCTTGAGCAATAGAGATAGAGAATGCACTGCAAGTCATTTTCTGAGCACAGTTGCTACCATTTATTTAACCTTGAAGTTCAGGAAGAATGACTTAGTTCAAAACATGGTAAAATCAACTTTTCTCTTTTAACATACCTCATTGACCCAAAGAGGGGAAAAAGAAATGGTTTAATTAAAGATAAAATATTAATCCAACACTTCTTTAAGAGTCTTGGATGCTTATAGAAATAAATTAAGTCCAGACATCTCATTGCTATTGCCAATTATTTACCATGCTGAGTTTAAGACAAAAAAATCAGAGGGGTACTTCTTTCAGGGAACAAAATAATCTAATATGACTATATGGAATTATAATAAGAAACTATATGATTCTGCTTTCTACAATAATGGAAAAACTGGGGACAAATGTTTAAAACTTCTAAACATCTAAAGCAGGGGTGTCAAACTCAATTTCATTGAGGGCTGCATCAAGATTGCGTTTGACCTCGGGGAACCGGGGTGGGTGTGGTCAGCTCGATGTCACTCTGCCAGAGAACGCACTGCCAGCAAAAACGGGCTCCTGAGCTCCATTTTCAGCTGCAATGGCTCCTGTGACCCTCTGCCGCGAAAATGGAGCTTGGGAGGGCCGCATGCGACCCGCCCAAGCTCTGTTTTCGCTGGCAGAGGCACTGCAGGCCAATCCTTTGCTGCTTCCAGGGTGGCCCCGCGGGCAAGATATAAGCACTCCATGGGCTGGATCTGGCTCATGGGCCTTGAGTTTGACATCCCTGATCTAAACTGTCATATTGATGAATAACAAAAGTGAGATTTAATCAATTACAATTTTGAGGAAGCCATGGAATATAGGTTGCAATGATCCAGGCTTATACAATGTTTTGGTGTTTTCATGGAAAAATTAATGTAACACATATGTACATGCTTAGTTGGCTGCATTTTAAATATAATATCTTGTGAATCTGATTTTTTAAAATTGTAATTTAACTTGATTATATAAGATTATATAAGATTATATGATTATATGTTGAGACAGAGAGTTAAAAGGTGAGATAAATTAATTCTGTAAACTTTTTTCTTCCGTAGTAGAAAGCTTTGTGAATATTTATAAATAGAATTGCATTATTTGAAAAATATTACAAATTCATTTTATGGCATAATGTTGTTGGAGGCTAGTGTGGGTACTACAGAGAACTGATTAACATTTTTAAGTATCTCAATTTAAAGTAAAGTATTAACTCTACTTTTTAAACCATTTTGGAGAAACTTAGAGTTTTCTTGAATGAGAAAATTTGTTATAGGTAACAAATCATTAGATGGTATTAGATTAACTTAGAGGAGAAGGGAGGAAAAGGTTGAAAGATTTTTATATATTCATATCTTCCATAAAAACATGCTCAGGATAGTTTTCAATAAATATCTTATTTATTGCTATCACATAGTTGTGGGGGCTTGCATTTTTTCTGTATTTTATTTTGTTGAATATATAACTCATTATATTTCTAAGCCAATTCTAAATTGTAATTACATTAAACAGATTTACATTTCATATACCAAATGTATGCATAATTCTCTTTTTGCATCTACTTGTCTATATATTATGGTTATCTCCCTACAAGTTGATTTTTGACTCTTGATTTGATTTGTTTATTTGTGCATTTTTAGGCCAGCAGGTTCTTGGTTTGGTAGAGAACCAGAGTGACTGGTACCTAGGAAACCTCTGGAAAAATCACCGTCCCTGGCCAGCTCTTGGAAGAGGTTACAATACAGGTATGTTCAATAGCATCCTGAAAGAAAGTTGTTTCTGACCACTATGATATCTGAAATTGTGAAAGATATATTATTTTAAAGAAAAGATGCTCCTTCCTAGATCATCTGCCATGAATGTTGAGTCAATCAACTCCTGAAGCATATGAGCACCTTCTAAAAGTCAAGAGTGTGATTGCAACCAAGGCCAAATTATGACAAGCTAGAAATTACAGTAATATATTGTTTTCTTTCTGTTTTTGCTACAGCACAAACATCTGTTCAGTGTATAAACTAATATGGAGCAATGTGTTTTCACTGATTTTTTTTTCTCTTCTGCACTCTATCCCCTTCAAACGTTTAGATTTGGATTCAGTCATTTTCTGAGGGGGAAATGCCATTCAGTAAAAAGGTGATAAGAGCATTCTAAGCTCATATAATCAAAACCTGCATCCATAAATATTAAAGTGCTGCTTGAAATTTGATCCCATAAAATGAGTTGCTGGACAACTAATGATTATAGGTTGATCGAACATCTTGCTGTTTTATAACTGTTTTATATTTAAGCATTAATTGTTACCTTTTAAATATGTGAATTGTGTTCCAAATGAAATGCATTCAAATAATAGTGGAATCCCTTTTTTGATGGCAGCCTAGCTGTTTGTTAAATAAGTAATGTCATCAAAGAAATCAAACACCACATGGAAATGACTTCACCAAGTCATGGTGGAAATAAAGTGCATAGCAACCCCGCCCCTCCAGATATGATGTGCATAACTCTTCTCCCTAGATATGCCCTACCTAACTCTCCTCGCTCAATGTGATGCAGAAATCACAACCAAATATGATGGGTTGAAACTAACCCCAACAAGAAAAGTGTGAGAGTCAACCCTAGGTGCATGATTAGTTTAACTCCGAACCTAATTCTATGCATATTCAAACCAAACTATCAGATTTGGGGTGGTGGGTATGCACATCATATCACAGGACTGGGGGATATGTAGGTCACTTCTGATTAGGGCCCTGACTTATGATGTCAACACATGGGGTTTGTTTACTTTGATGACATCACTGATTAAAAAAAACTAAATAAGCTGTAGTCAAAAAAGGGATATACTACATCCACTAAAAAATTTCTTCTTTATAACATCTCTTCATAATTTAGAATATGAAATGCCTTTTTGGTGTCTAGTGGTCAGTTCATATTGTAAAGATCGTTGTAGAATTTTCTCAGATGTACTATATTTCATGCCTCTGGAGTTAATCTTCCTTTCTAGCTTGATTATTTGCCAATACTTGTTAACCACAATAAGACAGACATAAAACATCAATTGTTATAGCCAGAGTTATGTTTGTAATTCAGTGACAAAACTAATATTAAAACAGGAAGAGTTGGGTTCAAATCCCTGATCTGCTACAAAATTTAGAAGCCTCAAAATATAGATGGTATATCTTCAGCATAGTGATAAGATCATAATAATGGTCCAAATAAATCTAATGCCAAGCTGTCAAATTTCCTTCCCCCATTGGGAAAAAGAAGCATGCTTTCTGTGACTTGATTTATAGGGAGGGACAGGTTTCTCTACTGATTTGTGTGCAAAATGTGAGCAGACATACCAGGTGGATAAAGAACATACCCATAGGCATCTAAATCAGTTCCATCTCATACTTTAGGTGGCCAGATAGTGACTTATATTCTGTTCGCATCTTAAATAAAACAGACAGCAGCTGGGGAAGGATCCATTTCTAAAGGAAATGTTCCTGTTAAATAACTTTGTACCAACAACCAGTTCTTTGTGACAATTGAAATGTTCACCAAGGAATTTCTTTAGATTCTGTGAAAGAGATTTGCTATTGTGAAAAAGCTAATACACAACAATTAGATTAATGCCATTATTTATATTATGATGTAAAGGTGTAAGAAGATTATAAATACTTTCATTTTATGGTTTTGGAGACAGTTACTACAGATTGCTAGAAGACCTACTCCAAGACAGCCTTCTCTGTTGAGGTGATCATAAAATATAAATTCAATATTTTAAATGAGTGTAACAAGTGGAGATGGTGTACAAAAAACGGCATTGCTTGATAAAGTTAAGAGAAGAATAGAAGGGGAAGAGATTGAGTGGATTAAGTGAGTGGATACAATCTATTTATTTGTTTTATATCAGAATTACAGAAATTATAGGGTGGTTCTTAGAACAGCTACAAATTATTGCCAACAGTAGAGCAATATGACAGGCATAAATGTACATGCAGTCATCAATAGTCCTGTCTGATTTTTCAGGAGCACCAACCATTTAACCAAAAATGCAAAACACTAATTGAAATGGTTCCTAGGGCATACGAAAATGAAAGAGAACTCTATCCATTTTATGAAACCCTGACATTTAGCATAGTCAATTGTTATGCAGAGTGGAGAAAGAATTGTATTATTATATTTCACGGTAATTTTGCCTGGTATTTGACTCCTAGAAGGCAACAAATAGCCCATCTATTGCTATGATGGAAAGGCAATAAACATTGTGGTGTCCTCATTCAGTTTTGCCCATAATATACATTCTAAATTTTCCAAATTTAAACTTGCAAAAGGAGAAAGATTTACAGGATCTGAAGAGAGATCAGAGTATATTTAGTGTTTATTTACTGATATTTTATTTTCCACCCACCAGGTATTTTCTCATCCTCTTTTTTTCCCCCCTTTATGTAGTCATTTATCCTGTCTTAAATATAAAAAAAAATTAAATAAAATTGGGACATTTTGTCCCTGGCTCTAAGCCTTGTTATTAACAATTTGTTGCACAGGCCATAATTAGCTGTATTGTCACAATATATATTACAACATATAACTACAAACAAAATAAATACTATTTTGGCAATGAATAATAGGTAAATCCAGTCATCTTAGCACTGTTGAGGCACAAGAGTACCAGAAATATTTATTGTTAGTTTGTTTTCTGCCTACAGTGCTGCACATCAGCAGGGAACGTACAACATTTAAAATGCCTTTAGTATAATATAAAATATTTTAAAATAAGACATATTATGGCAGATTATAATTATATATAATTCCCAGCTGTTCTTCTCCTATTACAAGAACACTGTATCACTTGTTATATCGTAAGACATTATACATATTTATTTTGCATCCCTATTGAGTAGTCAAAAATCACTTGATTAAAAAATGCTGAATTAATAAATACCAAACAAACTGATTCTCTCTCATTTGCTACTAAGCTAGTTCACATGCTTGTCTAACCAACAAAAATCTTTCTTTGCCACAGAAACAAGCAAGTAACTGGTTAGGTAGGAACAAGCACTGCTGATCAAAGAAAGCCATTGAGATGCATTGTTATATCTCAAGACTGGGAAAGGAACAGGCAAATGGGTGGAGGAAAAGGTTCGTTTGTGGGGTCTAGAAGGTAAGCACAGCTCACAGCCCTTGGCTTAAGATTGATACGCTCCTCCCTAAATTAGTTGTCCATTCCATGAGCACACAGTTCATGGAAGAACACAAATGAAGTGGTGAGGGAGGAAGGAGACACCTGCCTAGCTAGCCAGATCAGCTGAATTAACTGCGGTATTAATGGGGTGACAGATGTTGCAGACAGATCATCCTTACATCCAGAAGGGGATGATTGAAAAAGCTTATGATTGAAATGATTGAGATTGACTGGTTCTCCCTGTTTCACACACATGCATGTGGTAGGTAGGTGGCAGGCAGGCAGGCAGGCAGGCAGGCAGACAGACAGACACAGACAGACAGACAGATAGATAGATTCATTCATTCTGCATCAGGCAGGTGATCTGCATAAATATAACATCCTGTGCAATAAAAGATACTATTTTGATCCTGAATCACATGAAAAATGCAGTTACGGTATCTACATTTGAAAATGCAGTACTATGGAAGATATTTTCTTGGAATGCCTGCACCAAACAAGAAATCAATACTTTGAATTATTTGATTTTACAGATTTTAAGAGATTGTGTTTTGAATATAACTTACATTTGCCTTGCTTGGTAATTTTACAGTTGAAACATGTAATAATTAAAACAGTGCATCTGAGAGGTCTTATCAGTCTCCAAGGTATCTGAAGTACTAGGAACTAATTCTAGGATTAGCTTTATTTATTTTTTGTCAGGTTTAGTTTATATCACCATGAGATATCTGAGATTTCTTTCTCTTTACTATATAAACACTTTATCTTTTTACGCCTCTTGGTGTTACAGTTTTCTATTCTCCACTACTAAAAATAACTTAAATATTAAAAAGAAAAGTCCTGCTAAGCAGATATTCCATTTCCCAATTTCCTCTTCCTCTCTTACACTGCAGAAGTGGTTAGTTATGGGGAGGATCCTGTAGAAACAGCTATTTTATTTAACAGGCTCAGATATTGCTTTAACTTAAGTTCAAGTATAATAGCTGACATTACTCTGAACAGTTACTCTTGACAGTCTTGCGTGCTTACAATACACTCATACATTATTCTTCTATGTTTTAGTCAGCTCAAGCTCTCATTTTTCAGTTCCACAAAGCTATTAAAACCTTTTTTTCCCCAGTTTATATGGCTGAGAGAGAATAAAAAGGATATAGAGATGAGCTAAAAAGGCAAGTGAGTGAAAGGAAGATTGGAGAGGAGGTAGCAGCAAATGCAACAGCATTTTTCTGAAACGTGGAACAAGAGGTCATTCCATGCAACAGTTCAACTTCTCCAAGATAGCAAAGAATGGATTATTGACAGAGTCAGCATATGTCACTATAAAGAAAACTGTTCAAAATTGAAATATATTGTTTGACTCAGTGCTCTTGGAGAGAACAAAGAAATAAATCTCCTGGGAACAGAGGGTGGTGGTAAAAGAAAGGTAAGGCTTATCAGATACCTGCTCCATGAATTAGAATAGCTGTCAAACAATATAGCATTAAAATAGGAGGAACTCAGAACCCCCGTGAAAAGGCAGAGATACAAATTGTGCCAGAATAGAAAATAAGGAGGGAGTAGCTCTATTATTAGTCCTAATAA